TAGTTTTAATAAAATATTAATTGTATTTTCTTTATTAAATTATCAATTAGCAATTCATCGAAAGGTAGTAAAAGGATTCAAAAATAGTTTTTGAATACAAGTAATAATTTTGAGAAATTAATGAAGCATAACTTATTAAATTATTGCACGCTTGAAAATTAAGAAATTCAGATTAAGGATACCTTATATATGACGTGTAAGATTTTCACACATATTTAGATTCTAATAATGAGTAAGGTTATTTGGCATCCATTAAAAAGTTTACTAAGATTTTTTAATATTGTAATAATGGAACTTTTTTGTGATTTGTTGATACATAATTTTTTTGCAAATAGTATTGATTAAATAAAATCAATATTATTATGAAATAGTTATCAATATCATCATAAAATTTATAAACATTCCTCAATAGCGTCTCCTGTCCCAACACATGTCCTCATTTTTTAGACGTTTGTGTATACCTTAACAATAATTGTCTCGCCTTATCGATTCTTCATAACCTCATTTTTAATTTAATCAAAGCGAAATTTTAGATTTTGATATTTATATGCAAATATCTTTTATAGGAATACTGTAAAATGATTAATTAATTTATATTAGATAATTAAATAAGATAATTATTATTTCTAACAATTCAGATGAAAAACTCATCGAATAAGTCTACAAACATCTTAACGAATAATATGTATAAATTCTATATGAGCAGCCCTTCCTATCAATTTATCCAATTTTCTAAATATATTTATGATATATGCTTTTTGTATTAAAAAATCAAATCTAATCTATATATCCATTTGCATTTGGATTATATATTTGAAACCATTTGATTGTAAAATGGATTCTTTGGATCATTTGGTTTCCTCAATGCTTTAATTAAGACCTACTGAATAGTAACATAAAATCTTGATAAGATGCTAGAATAACCACGTTATTAAACTAATCTAATCCCCCTCAAACATGCTTAACTAATAAAAGTAGGATTAACCTATATTCTTATTATCCTTTAACCCAACTGTTAAAAAATTTTGCATTTTCTATCATTTCTCT